GCGCCCGCAGCTTCCAAGCTCTTAACAGCATTTACTACATAGGCAGAATCTGAAATCAAATTAAATGCAAATGTGCAATTCTTAAACACTTCCACAACTATTTCCAGTTCTACAATCTAAGGGGATCCTGGTGAAAACTGACACATCACCGGTTCTTGTTTTTCCACCACATAGGCTCCACAGCCTGTTTTTGAACCATCTGTAAACACATTGGGAACACCCTTTATGGGGCGCATAGAAGTTACTTTTGGAAAAATCACGGGATGCTCCTTAAAAAAGGACAACAATGGGTGCTGGGGATAGTGATTATCAAATTGACCTGAAAAACTGCATTGCAAAATAGCCCAATCATCAATAGTACCGCATAAGATCTTAAGCTGATGACTAGAATAGGGTACTATGATAGAAGCAGGGGAGACCCAAAAAAATTGCACATACTGTTGTATGCCATTCAGGGCAAGTGCTGCAATGGCCGTCGGATAATGCTCCACTGATTTAGCAGGCAAAATTTTAGGATACATCCATAACAATGGCCCTTCCTGCCACAATAATCCTGCAGGTTGATAGGCAGTGGCAAAGATGCATAAAAGAATAGGCTGATGGTCTTGCCATCGTTGCAGGAAGGCACTCTGAAGTCTCTCCTCAACCTTTTACAATGCTACTCTAGCCTCTGCTGTTAATTGCCTAGGAGAATCAAGTGCTGAATCACCTATCAAAATATTATATAGGGGCTTTAATTCATAATTTGGCAACTTTAAATAGCTTCTTATCCAATTAATATCCCCTAATAACTTTTGAAAATCATTTAAGGTCTTCAAATTATCTTTCCTTAACTCAATCTTCTGAGGAGGTATATTTACAGGCCCAGTTCGTGCTCCTAGGTAATTGATTATGCTCTCCTCTTGAACCTTTTCAGGGGTGATAAACAATCCTCTCCTCTCCAGTAACTTAATCAGTTCTCCGTAGGCTAGATCTAAAACCTGTTCACTTTTAGCTGCTAGCCAGATATCATCTATATAGTGAACACATCTCAAAGCTGGGAACTTTCTTCTCAGAGGGGCAATGGCTTCGCCCACATAGAGTTGACACATAGTAGGGCTATTTGCCATGCCCTGAGGTAAGACTACCCATTCAAATCTCCTATCAGGTTCTTCATGATTACATGAGGGAATGGTGAATGCAAACCTTTCACTATCCTTGGCACACAAGGGGATGGAGAAAAAACAGTCCTTTATATCTATTACTATTATAGGCCAGGAGGCTGGCAAAGATGATAAAAGTGGCAACCCTCGCTGTACTGGGCCCATGATCTGCATTTGTTGATTAATAGCACGCAGATCATGCAGCAACCTCCATTTCCCTGATTTCTTTCTGATAACAAAAATAGGTGTATTCCAGGGAGAAACAGATGGTCTTACATGCTTTAAGGACATCTGCTCAGCCACCAACTCTTTGGCAGTGCTTAGCTTTTCAGAATACAGTGGCCACTGAGAAACCCATACTGGTTCCTCTGTCTTCCAAGTTATGGGAATGCCTTCCTCAGCGGCCCCTAGGAAAAACCCAGGCCCTGTCTCTTTTGTCTCTGTTGAGCGGATATAGGACTCCTATGCCCTTGCAGATACTTCCCTATTCCAAAGCCTGGAGCATAACCCATACCTTGCATCATGCGCTGGGCGGAAACAGAATACTCATTGCTTAACTTAAACCCCATGTCTTTTAACAAATCTCTTCCCCATAGGGAAATCGGCAACTCAAGTACATATGGTTGCACAACTCTGGAATGCCCTTCCTGATCCTGCCACTTTAGCTGCCTTGCACTCATGTCCGGAGTTTTTGCATAGCCAAGTCCTTGCAAGGTTTGAGAGGAAGATTGCACAGGCCAACCTGAAGGCCAGTCTTTCTTAGCTAGTATGCTTCTGTCTGCTCCTGTATCCAAAAGACCCAGGATCCTTTTCCCTTCTATGTTCAACTCTAGCACAGGACGTTGGTCAAGATCCAGGGACAGAAATGTTAAATCTACTCCTGTGGATCCAAAACCTCCTTTTCCTCTTCCTTGATCCTTTGCAGCATAGCGGTCATGCAGACTCAGTAAAATGACTAATTGAGCAATTCTATCTCCAGGAGAAATGGCAGTTATCCCTCGTGGAGAGGCAACCATAATTTTTACAACTCCACTATAATCTGGATCTATGACTCCAGGGTGCACAATAAGTCCTCTCAGTGCTGAGGAGGATCTTCCTAGCAATAGCCCAACTGTGCCAGGCTCAAGGGGTCCTTTAAAGTCTGTTTCAATTAACTGGACCCCCATTTGGGGTGTTAATACGAGTTGGGTGGTGGAGAGGAGGTCCAATCCCGCCAAGCCCTTAGTGGCTCTCCGCGGTTCCTCGGATGGCGAAGGGACAGCCATCTCTCTGGAGTCTCCTCGTCCTGACTCTCCACTGCCCCATATATTTGTGGGCCCTGGGGTCATGGACCCCCTCTGTCTGTTTTTTTGGACGGGCACCACCGTTTCCCTGAGTAATGGGCTGGCCATTAATATCTCTGACTGAGCGACATTCATTCGCCCAGTGATTTCCCTTTTTACACTTTGGGCAGAGGCCTGGCTGCTTAGGGCGTTGGCCACTTCCTCCTCCGCCATAATCTCTAGTTCCTTTCTCCAGACACTGTCTTTTCAGGTGACCTAACTTTCCACACTTGAAGCATGCCCCTAAATTATCCCCTTTCTTCTGTGTCAGCTGCACCACGGCAGCTGCTAACCCTGCATTGGTCAGGGGTCCCCCGAGCTCTCTGCACACCTTCATCCATGCTTCAAGGCCTTTGCTCTTATAAGGTGTAATTGCGGCTCTATACTCCTTAGTACATTGTTCATAGACTAGCTGTTTAATGAGTGGCATGGCTGTATCAGGATCACCAAAAATCCTCCCTGCGGCTTCCACCAAGCAGGTCACAAAGTCTGAGAAGGGTTCCATAGCGCCCTGCAAGATCTTGGTCAGATTGCCACTCACTTCCCCTTTGTTTGGCAATGACTTCCACGCTCTCGTAGCTATCTGATTAATCTGCTCATAGACCTGGATGGACCAGGTAGCCCGTCTGCTGATTGGCAAATCTGCCCTATCCGAGCAGCATATCCCTATCCCAGGTCGTATTACCATTTCTCTGGTTGGCAGCTGCTTGTTCAGTCACATTCTCAATCAAAAATGCCTTCTAGTCTAAATATTGCCCTGGACTCAAACAGGCACGGGATAGTCCACTCCAATCGCTACGTGTCATACAGTGTCTGCTAAGAGCTTCTACTTGGGCCAGGGTGAAAAAAGCAGTAATCCCATACGTGCGGACCGACTCCGCAAGAGATTTCACTACTTTAAAATCAAGTGGTTCTTCATACCTGTTTCCCTGTGGGTCTTGGTAAACATGGTAGGAAAACTGCAACTCAGTCCTGACCTGGGGCCATATCCCTGGACAAAATGATCTCCCTGCATAGGAGGGTGGAGCAGGCTGAGTAGGCGGAGTAGCCTGTGCGGCTTCAAGATAAGATGGAGGATCCGAGGGCGTCTTAATGGCGGCCTCCGATCCGCCGCTTGCTGCCAATGGAGGTTTCTCCTTCTCTTTTCTCTTTTTCCTCTTCCTCACAGTTGTTCTCTCTAGCTGTTCTACTAGGGCATGTAATTCTCCTTCTGAGTCCGTGGACTCTGAGTCCTCAAAGTCCTCAAGACTAGAGTACAGTGGCTCCCTTTTCTTACCTCCCTTCTCACCTGCAGCCCTCTCCGATCTCTGTTCCTGCAACATTTCTAAGGCTGTTTGTCCCTCTTCGACTGCCTTACAGCATTTCTGATCTTCCAAGCAGCTTCTCACTAACTTCCAGATAGGTCTCACCCCTTTTGCAAGGTTCCCTGTTCCTGAGTCCCAGCAGGATACTGTAAGATTTCCTGATACTGCGAACCACGGAGCCACGGTATCGCACTCATTTAAAAATCTTAATAGAGTTGAACTTTTTATCTTTAAATTCCTTGACAAAAGCAGCTCTTGAAGAGCCAAAAAAATTGGGTGTGACTGAGAAGCGCCCATAACTAAATTCCACCCAAAAGTATACTTTCAACATGCAGTGCCTTTCACTTTTGGTTCACCACACAGCGAACTTGCCCGCTCTCTGTCTACAGAGAAGAGCAAAATGGCCGCGTTCTGCGGACTTTATTGTCCCAACTTACCTTGGGAACTTACCAGTGCACTGCCCTGACTGCAGGAGTTCTGAGCCTCTTCAGATGAGGCCACCACTTGTCGCTCCTAGCCTCGACCAGCAAGGAAGACTCAACACTTGAGCTCTTCTCCAAGCAGTTTATTCAGGAACCTTGAATAAGCTTCTGACCCCGGGGGAAGTGCCTCCCAGGCTTAAGTAGTCTAGGGCTAGCCTACCCCAGCAAGCCAGGTGGCGACAGCAGATAGGTCCACATACACGGAAGCAAGCCAGATCACCAGCCACAGCCAAATGTGGACTTGTTTACTCCTGAGAGCACTCACCATCAGGATGGCGGAAGGCGGAAACCGGTGCCATCTTAAAGGCACAGCACTATGCAGCTCTCCACACTTTCCAACTAGGATTTTTGTCCTAAGTGTACTTTTTCCAGAAGGTGCTTCTCTAACCACATCCTTCCCCGCCCTCAGCACTTGGTTTGTTTTGCTTTGGGTCCGGGGATCAAACTCAAGGCTTCTTCCTCCTCTGATGGCTTTAACATTTCTCTTCATTCCACTCTCAGCATTATTGTCAGCTGAGGAGTATTCTCCAACCTGCCATGTTAGATCTAGATTCGGACCAAGAGATTTCTTAAAGGTATTAGCTCAACTACTAGATATTGTCTCACTCGGTCAACAACTTTTACTTTGTGTACAAGCTACTGAATAAAGATTTGTTCTTTTAAATTCTCTGATATTTCCGTCTTTCTTGGTTCAGAAGAAGAAAGCCCTGTGTTTTAGGGTCATACTGTTGTGCTTATAAAGAGATAAAGAGAGAAGGAATATGTTTTAGTGGGTGTGTGGTAAGGTATGGGGGAAAGGGTACCTCTGCAGGCCCATGCTGAGGCATCCCTTCCCCCTGAGGGACCAGCCACACGATGGTATAGTATAGAATAGAGTTTTCTCAGGGCATGGGGAGGGGAGTTGAGAGACAGAGTAGAGAAGAATAGAAGCAGAGAAATAGAGGCTAGCCATGAGCACGTAGAGAGAAAAGGGGTAGGAAATGGAGGGGGGGAAGGGGCAAGAGGACAGAGCAAGAGACAGAAGAGGGGGCAAGCAGCCCCTTTTATAGTGAGTCAAGCACACCCAGCTGTTGCCAGGTAACTGTGAAGCAGAGCTTAGACAAAATGCTAGTATTCCCTTGTTTTGGTTTAATTAAAAAAGAAAAAATTAGAAAGAGGTGATGGTGGAGCAGGAATAGGGCCGTCGTGATCTTTAGCTACCTCCTGCTGACTTCAGGGTGATGTGGAGGAAACCTAGAAGAATGGGTATGGGAATGTTGGTCCAGTCTCAGAATTGGCTGTTTCCTTGTTGTCCAGGATCCATGGAGCCATCTGCAGATAGATCAGAAGAAAGAGGTCTAGCAGAAGCATCTATGTCTGTGAAAGAAGATGGGAGCATCTAGAGGTTGCTTCTCTGACGCTGTCCTGGATTGTAGTAAATGCCTGGACTTGACAAGATGCTGAAATACACACACACACACACACACACACACACACACACACCTTATAGGTAGAGAATATGATTAAGTATGTTTGGGAGAAAGAATTTTTTTTTGTATGTACAATTGAAACTCAGAGGACTCCAACCCTCTGGAATAGGTAGTAAGAGGGAACTTTAGACTATTGATTAGCAGATGTACTTGTCTGGCGGAGTCTATTTGGTCCATGAGAGTTAGATCTGAGTGGTTTTTCTGTAGCTTATAAGTTTACAAAAGAGATAACAACGTGAGTCAAAAACATGAACAGTCTTTAAGATGAGCCTTTCGTGGAGGAGAAAAGGAGAGAAGGGCTTTTTCCTTCTGTCTAGGAGACTGAATATATATCACTTTAAATTTAGCTAAAAGACAACCAAAGAAAATTTGAAATTCGAATTTGTGCTTATACAATTGGATCGCATACTGGAATGCTTAATGGTAGGACAGTGGCACAGCAAGAAGAGGAAATATGAAGCATTTAATCAATGGAAAACAAGTTTAGGTAAGAAAGTGACAGATTAAACCTGTGAAAGCTTGCATCTGAACTAGTCGCTAGAAACTGAGTTTAGGTAGAGAGGTAGGTCTGTTTCCTAGCCGTCAAGCTATAGTTACCTTGGCTGTCAATGTAGTCAGAAATCTGGGGAAGAATAAACTATAATCTAGCAGTCATATATTAATTAAAAAATGACAGAGTTCATCTACAGTCCTAACAGCTCCCTGTGTTCTCTGTGGTCTCCATGGCAACTTGAGCTAACACATACAGTAGGTACACCTGAAGATTGGTGGCAAACTCATTGCATAATCATCAGATTACTTTGGACATTTTATAAAAGAGAGCACAAGTTTGGGCCCAGGCCCCTGGATGCTCTAGGTGAGTGCAAACTATCTGTATGTTAGGAACTCTCCAGGCTGTCACAATCTGCAGTCAGATTGGAAACTACAGCAAGCAAAATTCTTAGGTAAGCCCCTGTGTGCGTCTATCTCTGTTTCTCCTTCAGGTAAGTGGGAATTGTCGCTTGCCTCCTGTGGTGTTTGAATGAGAATGGTCCCATAGGATCAGATGTTTGAATGCTTGGGCCCCAGTTGATGGCGCTGTTCGGAGGTTTAGAAGGTATGATCTTACTGGAAGAAATGTCACCAGGGCAGACTTTTGGGTTTCAAAGCCCTGTTCCCTTTCCTGTGTGTTCTCCACTTCCTGCTTGTGATTCAAGATATTGAGTCCTGAGCTAGAGAGATGGATCGGTGGTCAGGAGTACGTACTAATCTCCCAAGAGATGTCGTCTGATTCCCAACTCCCACATTAGGCAGTTTACAGCTGTCTATAAGTCCAAGACCTCTGACCTCTGCAGCACATGCGTACACACACACACACACACACAATATTTTTTTAATTTTTAAATCTCCTTTAAATCAGCTTTTTAAAGGAAAAGTGTGAAGCCTCAGCTTCTGCTCTACCCACCTGCCATGTCTGCCGCCTGTTGCCGCTCTTCTTGCCATAATGGGCTCTAATCCCTCTGGAACTGCAAACCAAATACAACCTGTCCTCCCATAAGCTGCCTTGGTTGCAGTGTTATCACGGCATTAGGGGGGTAAACTAACACACTTCAAGTGAACAGAATACATCAAGGGTGTGATTAGATTTGCACATACCTGTGTGTGTATGATAGGCATGGGATGGGGGCAGGTGGGCTCCATCCTGCTAATGGATACTAAAGCAATAGTTCTCTGGCCTTGAAGAAACAAATAATCGTGTTATGAAGTTGCCACTAGAAGATCTTCAGAGTATGGAGACCGCAGGAACCTTACAGAGCTACTTACAGCCTCCAGCTAATGCCGTGTGGGAAACTGCTAGAAACCTCAGTGGCATACTGAGTTCCAGCCTCTGTCAACAATCCAAGTGTGTCTGAAGCGTATTCTCCTCTCAGTTAAGAGAGGAGACCAACTAGCTCCTTGGTATAAGCCCTTCCGAGCCTGATCCTAGCTCAGCCACACATCTGACCCACTGAATTGAGGAAAGAATGTTTATATACTCTTGTTTTTAATGACCCACTGCAACTAAGAGAGAATATATATGCTTTTGTTTTTAATGACCCAACTAAGAGAATGTATACACGCTACTATTTCTACTGTACTTAGGCTGTAGCATTCTTACATGGCAATAGGAAACTAACTCAGAAATTGGCCATGAACAATTGTTTCTGAGCTATTTTTATTTCAGTGCCCAAAGCACAGTGTTTAATCCCTGTTATGAACTGGACTCCAGAACTTGTACAGCTTTCTACTCCAAGTTCAACATGTCAGTATTAAGAATAGATGACAGACACAGACGCTGTCTCAACCCACAGGGTCCACTTCAACTGCAGGGGAACTTATTCTTAGATTCCATTTCATTTGCCAGCTTCTTTCTCTATTGTTCATAATACATCCTGGGTGTTTTTTCCCCTGAAGTGGGAGAAGCCCATTTGAATGAGTACTTCAGTTACCCATAGGGTGTTTTGTTTTCTTTTGGTTTTGTCTTTATGCACACCAGAGAGACCAATAGACAGAGATGAGATGGGAAGCCCATCTCATTAAGTATAGCCCAGCGCCACTTCCTGTTCGCCCTCTGATTCCTTTATGTGGGATGGATGTGACCATCACTTCCTGTTCCGGGTCCCGCCTCCATGCCTTCTCTGCCTACAGCCATGCATTCCCTACCAGGATAGTCAGATAGTCAATTCCGGATTTTACATCCAGAATTTCAGAGCCCTGAGCTGCTGACCCCAACACATGCTTACTGGTGACCATCTCATGTGTTGAGCACTCAGAAGTAAGTAGAAGTCTTTATTATGAAAGGAAAAACAAAACAACAAAACAAAAACAAAAAAAAAAAAACCCTTGACTTTCCTGAGGTGCACAATGTAGGCTAGCTATTCAGTACACATTCATAATAAATACACTTTTTCAAATGCCAGTCAATATAAGCCTGTGTGACCAAGATGACATGGTCAGTTTATAAAATATGAGAAAAAGGATACACACATGACATGAAAAACATTATTTTAATTGTTTTTAAAAGATTTCACTAGGTGCTGGAGAGATGGCTCAGCAATAAATAACAGCAGAGGACCCAAGTTTAGTTCCAGAATCCACCTTTAACTCCAGGAGATCTGACACCCTCTTCTGGCCTCCACAAGAACCTGCACTCATGTGCACACACCCACAGAGGCATGCATCCATATATGAATTAAATCTTTAAAAGATTTCTCTAGAACAAGACCCTCAAACTTGAAAATCACCACTGCCTTCCTGTTCACACAGCACTTTTTAGAAGCTAAAACTCCAAGAGTTTGGCCACGGGTACTGCTCTGTTGCTGACTAGAATAAAACTTGACTTTGTACTATGATATTACTAGAAAATTGTAAGCATTATCTCCTGTGCAACAAATTAGTAGAAGGAATAAGTGTATAAACGATGCATAGGTTATGTTATTACAGGTGCCCATGCTACAGTTTCATCCACATGCAAATCAGTTTTTCCAGGAGGCATTCAGCCATCACAGAGGTACTTATTGGGACCTTAATTTATCACCAGTGACTTGGCTATGTGCACCAACACAAAACCTGCAATCAGCTCCATAGCAGGAAAGAGATCAACATGCCGACAGCTGCATATTGTGAGGGTGCTACCACGATGGTACACAGCAGGTAAACCATGCCCCAGGGGAGCATTGTCAATGACCCAATGCACGCATTTTCACAGCTATGCCCCTTGCACAGTGAATATGACAAATTGCATACTTCTCTGCAGAGGCAGTAAAAGGGGTAAGAGAGGGTGAAAAAGAACAAACGTCATGATAGGCTTTGCATAACTTTTAATTTGTTTACTAGCTCTGTGATCTGCAGTGTGGTATAGTCACAGAACCACAGGGATCTAATTTGTCAAATGTCAAGCTCACTCACTTCTGGCATTCATAGCACTTGTTACCAATTAGGTTTTTGAAGGAGACGGTAGAAAAATACAATAACACTGTGCAGCCAGGACAAGGATTCCACAATTCAGACAGTTCCTGTATCTTCCAGAAAGTTCATCCTCTTGACTCAGGCTTGGACCACCAGAGAACTTAAAGCTCACACTTGCCTTGTCAAGTTCCGTTGGGTTTACACTAAGTAATATAATTTGTCTAAATGGGACATAAATTAATGTTTTTCTAATGCTAATGACAGTGTCACATACTAAGATGGGCAAGTGGATCTCTGAGTTTATGGGCCAGCCTGGTCTACAGAGAGAGTTCCAGGATAACCAGGGCTACACAGAGAAACACTATCTCGAAAGACAAACAAAACAAACAACAGCAACAAAAAACTAAATATGTGACATTAAGTGTTCAGTAAATTATTAAGCATCCTAAATATCCTACTCAACAATACCCACATCCAAATTCAAAGTCCTAAACATTGGACAATAGCTGCTAATTTATCCTTTTTTATTTAATTTTGCCTATTAGGGAGTCAAAATGTATTTATTATATATACTTTCAAGTTTATAATCCCTGTTTGTAAATAATTTACTTATTTTCATTTTATATGCATGGGTGTTTTGCCAGTATGTATCTGTGTGAAGGTGTTGGGTCCCCTGGAACTAGAGTTATAGACAGTTGTGAAGTGCTATGTGGGTGCTGGGACTTGAATCTGAGTCCTCTGAAAGAGCAGCCAGTGCTTGTTACCCCTGTGCCATCTATCCAGCCCCTATAATCTGTTTTTAAGCTTTAAAGGTTTTGCATTTATTTTCTACTCTGTCCCACTGAGCTACATTCCTAACACAGTGAGCAAGGTCTCTCCTGTTTTATGGGTTCTAGGGATCGAACTCAGATCACCAGGCTTGTCTGCAAGTGCTGCTGGCGCAATTTTTATTTTTAACTTTAATTCTAAGTTCTTTCATTTTTAAAAGAAACTTTATTTTATCAATAAGACTTAAACATTGAGTCCTCCTAGATACAATGTCTAGAAGGTTTTCTGCTTTGTTTGTTTTTTTTAGTTTGGTTTGGTTTTTTGTCTTTTTTGTTGAGTGGTATTTCTGTGTATTTGCAATGCAAAATACAATCCGATACTTGTATAAAATATACTACTGAATCTAGTACTTGGATAAAGATTTGATGTATTTTTCTCACTTTTCTCAACCTCATAAGAGAATTGTGAAGATGTGGGTCTCACTGTGCACTGGGGATGTAGCTCAGTGGTAGAGAATTTGCCTAGAAGGCTCAAGGTCCTGTGTTCAGTTCCCATCACTGCAAGATGAAGGAACTGATATTTTGTGCCTTTGTTAAGTTAGGTGGAAATGAAGAGATACTCTAAGTATGGTCTCACAAAATGATAGGGTTTGTTGACACACAGAGAGAATTTTTCTTAAATTCAGAATGTTTAAAGGGGAATAATAACACCAATAAGTCTCACAGGATATACACTTGACAAATGAACTATGAGGTAAATCAGTCACAGAATGAGTTCCAAATGTATAAAGGTATGGTTGCTCAGTTAAGGCAGACACCAGCCTCTCCAGAAATAAGCCTCTAATTAGTTTGCAGTATTTTTGTTTGTTTGTTTGGTTGGTTGGTTGGTTGTTGTTGTTGTTGTTGTTCTTTTTATTTTTCTTGTTCTTACTCTTGTTGTTTGAGGTTTGTTGTTGTTTGTTTTTTCATGACAAGGTTTCTCTGTGTAGCCCTGGCTGTCCTGGAACTCTGTCTGTAGACCAGGCTGGCCTCCAACTCAGAGCTTCACCTGCCTCTGCCCACTGGGTGCTGGGATTGAAGGTGTGCATCACCATGCCCAGCTAGTTTGCAGTGTATTTTTATATGCATGTTTTCCAGGATTGTCTGACTTGGCTCCTGCAATGACGTTCCTTAGTGAGATATGATAGCATTCTCTTGATGCTATAGACAGTGTCCGGACCGGCAGACATGGCTTCAAAACCCCACAGTTAACAGGGTATTGCCCTGGAAACCTGAACTCTCAGGCTTAGAGAAATAGCTGACAGAGTGTGGCCTGTCACAACATGCATTAATGACCTAAGCTTTCTGAATCTACATCAAATTCTCAGGTTTATATGCATTTTGGACTATGTCCTTGAGGTCAGCTACTAGCATATGTGTGTGTAATTAATCTGATACGGATTAATGTAACTTTCCCAAGAGGTGGAAAGGACTTCACAGCATCAGATAGAGATTTGATAGGATGTCACATTGTGGAAGCGACAAGGTAGCACAAAAAATACTATGGTAAACTGTTTGGAATCCTTCAAACCTAGACAGAAGTCATTGACATTTCAGAAGGTTAGAATTCTGCAATTGATTGTTTATCTCCATTGATAGCTGTGGTAGAGAGCTTTTCTTGACTGCAACAAAGTAACTAATGTAATCAAAATAAAAAGAGGTTTCCTGTGGTTCACAGCATCGGAGGCTGCAGTATATTAGAGTAGTGATATTCCTTCAAAATCACGGCTCAGTGAACTAAGCACTCCCTGTAGGCTGCACCTCTTAAAGGTAGCATCATGTATAAGCCAGCACCAGCATCAAATATTGTCATTGGCAAAACCCCATACTTAATTGAAATGTAATCTGTCTTTAATATCTTTTACAGAGTACGTATTTAAGATCAGTCTGTGGGTCATGAGCAATATTCCAGAGTGAGGGGACCACTCGAAGGAAGCAATGCTCTGAGGCTCTCTCAACACTTAGGGTTTTTTATTTTTTCATGACTAGTTTTTTCTTCACAGTGTCTTATTGCATGCACTTGTGGCATATATCCTTACACTGAAGCTCTAGCAAGCTGTGTCTTAGATATTTGCTTCTCTATTCCTGAGATCTGCGTTATCTAGCGCTGCTCGTGATAATAGCCTTCAAATGCCTGCAGATGAGCCTTGCCTGTTGGCTTCTTCTGTCTCCTCCTATCACACTGATGCAAACATCCCTCGATGTGTGGACAGGCAGGCTTTCTTAGTGCACACTGCTGACATTTCTTGTTTCTCTAGGAGGACATTGATAGGTGGCCCTACAACAAGCAAGGGCTTGCAGAAAGCACTGGCTTGCCTTAGAGGTTGTGCCACAAGGACTGATAAGCTGTGATTATTTTCTCTGTGTGGTTTCCTTGTTATAACAGATTATATTATTTTCCTTTTCTATAATTCAAAAACCTCCAGGAAAATTGAGACATTTTCTAGCTATCCCACAATCCCCAGCTCACCCAACTTTTTTTCCTATTAAAAATAAATTTCTCCTCTCATACAATAAATCCCAACCACAGTTTCCTCTCCCTCCACTCCTCCCAGCTCCCCCCAAACTGCCCATACCCTCAGATCCATTCTCCCTCCATTTCTTCTTTAGAAAAGAGCAGATCTCCAAGAAACAACAACCAAAAAGGACAAAACAAGATACAGTAAGACAGGCTAAACCCTTCACATTCAGGCTGGACAAGGTAACCCACAAGGAAGAAAAGAGTTTCAAGAACAGGCAAGAGTCAGGGACACATCTGTTCCCACTGTTAGGAGTCTCACGAAAACACCCAGCTAACAACCATAACATATATGCAGAGGACCTGGTGCAGACCTATGCAGGCCCTGTGTTTGCTGCTTCAGTCTCTGTGAGTCCATATGAGCCCTGCTCAGTTGATTCAGTGGGCCATGTTCTCTCAGTGTCCTCCATCCCTCCTGACTCCTACAATCATTTTGCCCCCACTTCTGAGGAGAGGGACCCGATGAAGACCTCCAATTTAGACTCTCTGAATAATGTCTGACTGTGGGTCTATGCACTCGCTCCCATCTGCCGCTGAAGGGCGCCTCTCTCATGAGAATAAGGCACCAATTTATGAGTATAGCAGAATAACATTAGAAACCATTTAATTATTGGGAGTCATTTCATTGATTTTTCCCAGCCATGTTTGGTTCTGCCCTAGGTCTCTGGGATATCCAGTCTCTGGTTCCTAGCTATCTAGTCAGTGTAGGACATGGGCTCCCTCTTATGGTGTGAGCCTCAGGTTAAACATTGGTCGGCCATTCCCACAACTTCTATGCCAGCATATCTTGCAGGGAGGACAGGGTTTTGCTACTGGGTTGGTGTCCAGGTTACTTTTTTCATAGCCTGGGACTACCTGCCTTCATCAAGCAGACTAGAGCATATGTGTAAAGGCTCCACGCAGGTGCTAGATGACCCCTCTACATTCCATGAGCTGTGCAGATGTTGTCCTCCGCAATAGGGCCTTGCTGTCAGTTTTCAAAGAGCTACTTTCTGTCCTAGCATCAGCCTGGGTTGTTTGGAGGTTGTAGTGTTTAGTTTTAAAAAAAAACAAACGATCCACACTAAATCTGGCTAATTGCCGGCCACAGCGGTCTCGCCCACCTCCACGGCCAGCCTGAAGCAGTGGTCTTGCCCTGGTTCCCATGGCCAGCTGCTGCCAAGCCACTCCAATCTTCCCAGGTCATCCACCCACTGTGGCTGGCCTACAGAAAGCCAGCTACCGCTCACTCAGATCCCCTTAGCCTCGTGAAATGATAACACTAGAGACTTGCAATATACCAGCCAGATTTATAATAATAAATCTCCAGCCCCAAAATGTCCACTCAAAGAACACAAAACTCAATTGATGTAAATGCAAGCTGCACACCTAGATTGGGCAAATGTATCCTACACTGCTCTACTGCTGATCTAAGAAATCCCTAGCTACCTGTGACTCCTTTGGGCCATGTGGCCCCAGCCCATCTTCTCCCTGTCTCTCTGTCTTTTTTCTTCCTCTTCCCACTCTCTAAAACTTTCAGCTCTGCCTTTTCCTTCCACTGCCCAACCACAGGCTCTAGTCTTATCCGACCAATTAAGATTTCACCTGACCTCACCTGAGTATGTGTACCCCTCCTGAGGGAACAGAAAACACAAACAGCAATCCACAACAGGAGGTCTCCATGGAACCTCCTCAGTCAACAACGAAACTGAGTGTAACCCAGTCCCACCACTGAAAGCCTTATCTAGCTTCAAAAACTGCCCAATTCAGACTTGGTATCCTCCATCACTAGAAATGCTCAGTAGGGTCACTCTCAAAGAGTCCAGAAAGGTTCCACTGCACTAGGTTTCCACGTTGCCTCCCAAATGACCCCCATTTCCAGTTGTCTCTCCTCAAATTTTCTCCTTCCAGCTTTTTACCTCCATCCCACCACCCAACCTGGTATCTCCCAATCCTGACCTCAGCCATCCCCATTCCATCAGTAAAATCTATTCTATTTCTCCTTCCTGAGGAGATCCATACACCTGCAAGAACCCTCCTCTTTACCTAGTTTCTCTGAGTCTGTGGATTGTACCGTGACTATCATTTGCTTAACAGCTAATGTACACTTATAAATGTATGCTTGCCATATTGGCCTTTCTGGGTCTGGGTTACCTCATCTGGGATGATCTTTTCTAGTTCCATTTATTCGCCTGCAGATTTCATGATGTCTTTGTTTTTAATAGCTGAATATTATTCCATTGTATTAATGTACATTTTCTTTTTTGTTTGTTTGTTTGGTTTTTCGAGACAGGGTTTCTCTGTGTAGCCCTGGCTGTCCTGGAACTCACTCTGTAGACCAGGCTAGCCTCGAACTCAGAAATCCGCCTGCCTCTGCCTCCCAAGTGCTGGGATTAAAGGCATGCACCACCACTGCCCGGCCGAAAAATGTGTAGTCCAGGCTGGCCTCGAACTCAGAAATCCTCCTGCCTCTGCCTCCTTCAGCAAATCCTACCGGCCTGCGCCACCAGAACCGGCAAATGTACATTTTTTTTATCCATTCTTCAACTGAGGGATATCTAGGTTGTTTACAGTTTTCTGTCTACTATAAATAAAGCTGCAATGAACTTCTTTTAAAATTGCCTTTAAGTGTAGAAAAATATATTTTCATATACTAACTAATAATTATATACTAATAGTTATATACTAATATAACTAATAGTTCTAGATATTCTTCTGAAGTATTATTTTCTATTTAATTGATGTTTTAAATTTCATTACTTAATTATGTATAATTGTTTTAACCTCGCTGAGGTTGTAGCTTGCTTAAGGACATGCGCAGTGTCAAGTTTTCTATGCATTACAAACCCCACCAGCAAAACACAGCTCTTTGGAGTAAACACACAGGCAGGGCCGACAAAAAGGATCCAATTGTCATCCTTAATAATTAATAATAATTGTTCTAAGAACCCCCTATATTTTCACAGCACTGTTAGCTACCAGAACCTTCAGAACTCATTTTGCCTTTGTACTTATAATCTCTCAAGTAATCAAACAAGGTTATGTTATCTTCATTTTTTTTTCCTACATGGGCAGCTTCAAGACAAGATCTCACAGTGTAGCCCTGGCTATCCTAGAGCTCACAGGCTTGTCTTGAACACACAGAGATCCTTTTGCTTCTGCCTCCAAGTGCTGGGATCAAAGGCATGACCCTTTTTTGTGGTTGTCATTTATTTTACATTTTACAAGTGATCATTAGGAGCCTCCCAGACAGGTTTAGAACTCAGCCAACATATTAAAGCCAGTGAATCGGGGAGGACAGGAAGGAAGCATGATGCGGGGGGCGTGGAGTGAAGGTAGCTAATCAGGGAAAGGAGCTACTCGGGAGGCTTTAGGAATAGGCTTCTAAATAGGTCAGCTGAAGCCCCAGCCTATACCTCAGGTCCTTCCACCACTGTGTGGTTGGGAAGGCTGCCAAGACCTTCAGCTGAAATAACCCTCCTTTCTCTTTCAGTACTTGGCTTCTGCAATTCATCACCCAAGGCCTCCTTATGAGTTTGAATTAATATGTCAGGAAGAATTTCCATACTCCAGTTTTAAAGTAGTGTGTGTGTGTGTGTGTGTGTGTGTGTGTGTGTGTAAGCACTTGGCTGTGTGAGACAGATGCTCAGGAGGACTTCCCTTGTACCTAAACCAACACCCTTAAGCACTTGTCCTCTCAGGCCGGTCTAGCAGCAGACCACACAGTCTACAGGAAGAAAGACACAAAACTGCCTAGTCCAGCTCACTGTTCCAGCTCTGGCTCTTCGGTGAGTCTTGACTGCTATGTCTGACACTGGCTGTTTTATATATCATTGAGTAGGTGTCTTATTATCGTTGGTGAATTTCTTTCATAAGTTTCTAATTCCTACTTCCTAGAAGAACTCCAATCAGTCATCACCCCTCCATTTTCATTATATTCATTATATTATATTCCATATTCACTCATAATTGGGGATCTAATTGTCTGGAAAGTTACTAAGAATTATCTCACAGTCAACAGTCACGAAGCAGGTCTGGAGTGAGGCTCAGTTGGAAGGGTGGCTGGTTAGCACGTGAGAAGCTCTGGCTCAGATCCACAGCACTAAATAAAACCATGCCTATAATCCCAGAACTTGGGAGATGGAGGCAAGAGGGTCAGAAGTTCAAACTCATACTCAGCTACATAGTGAGATGGAGGACAGTCTATGTTGAGACACTGTCTCAAAAACAGAGATGGCAGAAATTGAAATTGTCATAATATTCTCCATTCTATATAAACAGTGAGCTCTCTGGAGGCTGGAATCTCCCACTCATCTTCAAACTCCCAGGATTAGACCAATCAGAGGTCATGGGTTAATATATGCTAAATAAAATCAACAAGATAAATCCACTCACGGTTGTCCTTCTGTCATTCCTCCTTGATGCTTCCCAACAGTAAATCGTCTTTTCGCAGTGGAACTCAAGGCCTGGCACATACTTAGCCATTGCTCCAGCACTGAGCTGCACCCTCCCCTCCCTCCCTCGCTCCCTCCCTTCCCTCCCCTGCCTCGCTCCCTCCCTTCCTTCTTTCTTCCTGACTCAGTTCACTTCTGTTCACTCTTGTAGCTGGGAAAAGTGTTCACAAATATCTTCTCCATGCACTAAATAGAAGCAACAACTATGTTATCTGTGTTTGTCAACAACAGAAACATGCCGAAGAGAAAAATATTCCTTCAGACCCTAAGAATTATGTTGAGTTTTCTGGCTTCAGGCACTGGAACCAAAGGAGACATTGCCAAAGAAAATAAGGATTTTAAAGGAAAGGCTTCCACACTGGTCCAGTTCGATCCTGACCAGTATACACCCACGTGGAAGGTGGAACTTATATCTGACACCAAGTATGAGACCTCAGAAACTTTCCAAATCGTTCTCTCTGAACCTGACACGGCTGCACTGGAGTTTCCAGAGATGGCAACAGTCGAAATTGTAGATCCTGAAGATGGTATGCCTCACACGATTTAATAAGGGGGAAGGACGAGGGGATCTTCTAAACTCAGTTCTGCTTTTTACTTAATAACAAATACTTCCTACCCTTCTCAAAAATGAGGCGGTTAATCATGTTGCAAACATAGGAGCCAATGGCTACACACTTCTGCGTAGGTGTGATAAAATACCAGGGAGCTGGTATTTTAATCCTGCTGAAATGCCTTCTCCAGTCGTTTCTAGAATCAACAGTTTACATTCCAGAGGCAGAATATAAACTGGCAGAGGCTGTTGGGGAGTTTCTGGTTCCTGTAAGACGATCTGGAGACACAAGCCTGGAGCTTACCATCGTCTGCTCTACTCAGCCAGGTCTGAGACTCCATGAGGGGTTGAGACTCCGTGGGGGTTGCACATGGCAACAGGGCTATTAGAATGCGTTGCGGTGACTCTGGGTGTGGGAGAGCCTGGGGGCAGGGCACCAGGCACAAGGCTCAGCCACCAGCCGTGAGTCGCAGGTTCCCTCCTTGGCTGACTCTGCTCAGGTGCCCTGAGTGCCTCCAGCTAGCTCGTCTCCAGCTAGCAGAGGTAAATGTACCCAACACTGGAACAAGAATGTCTGCTCTTGGTGTTTCGATAGGTTTTGTGAAAGTCCAGTGGCGACATTCAGATGAAACAGTTGCTATGAACTGATGGGAAATATAAGCTAGGCACAAGACCTTTACTGGTCTGTGTGGCTTCAAAGCAACACTGTGAAACAGCCTATGTCACTCTATCTTTCTTCTTCCTTTCAATCTTACAACTGTACATATCCTCCCACCTTGAGGTCTGGAGTTCGCACGCCTCTAGATGTGGTGCCATTCTTTGTGGCTTCTCTAAATGTACAGAGAGAAAATTTAACTCTTGTGCATCTTACCCCTTAGGTTCATTGAACACCACCCACGTGGGAGTAAGAAAAAGGTTTTGTCTAGTTCCGGATAGAGCAAGGAAGTCTGCCTCATCCGTTTGGCAGAGAGTCAAAGGCAGGGAGAACAGTAAAACTGAGCAGTGAGAGGAAGAGAGGAAGGTGTCAGTGTGGCCTAACTCAAGATGATGGGGAAGCTGGAGCTGAGATAAGGGCTGTCCTATGTGATTGGCTGATAGAGATAAGGGCTGTCCTATGTGGTTAACTGGGATAAGGACTGTCCTATGTGATTGGCTGGGATAAGGGCTGTCCTTTGAAATTGATTGGCTGAGATAAGAGGTGTCCTATGTAATTGGCTTCGATAGGGGCCTACGTGATTGGATAGGAGAGTGTGTTTGGGTTTCTCTGGCTATTCTTAAGTGAGAAGGGATTTAAAAGTATGGAAGCTGAACATTCTGGACCAAATCCTCACCATTTGTCCTGATTACTGCACATCTGGGACTGCTTCCTGAGCTCTCTGGGCTCCCACTGTTCTGGGAGTTGGGGTAGGGATAGGTATTAATTTACGTATAGGGCGGGGGTTTCATGAACTCTCTCTCTCTCTCTCTCTCTCTCTCTCTCTCTGTGTGTGTGTGTGTGTGTGTGTGTGTGTGTGTGTGTGTGTGTTCCCATGGACATATGGAGGCCAGAAATGATATCAAATGCCAGCCGATGTCTGCTTCTCCCCCTCGGGGTAACCAATTCCATTGCACACCAGGCTGGACTACTAGATGCGGGGCGCGCGTGTAGTGGTCTCGCCGGCAAAAAACATACACACACACGCACACACACACACACACACACACCAGAATCCTTCCGTAGAAACACGTTTATTTCCCTAAACCAAAATGGTGGCAGAAGACGACTCCTAGCCCTGGGAAAAGCCCTTATATACCCTAGAGCGGCGTAATCATCTCTGATTGGCCGCAAACTCGTAGCGCGCCAAACGCCGTGAGATGGGCTTAGCCTTGGCGGGCTTTACATGGCACATGCGCACTTTATTTGTTTACTAGGAAGAATTATGGCTGACAGCGCCACCTAGCGATGGCGGACTTTGCCAGCACCTGCCGCGGCTCCTAACAACTAGAAGAGAAGCTTAGCCAGGTATGAGTGGATGCAGGTAGGATCTTGGTCTGCGGTGAGAAAGGGGACATTTATGCCCCTGGAGAGGTGGCCGGGGTCTCTAGGCCAAGGTTTGTGTGGCTGTGTACCGCTGGCCAGGACAAGGGTGTTGGAAAATGCTTTATCTGAATATTCAGGGGCGTAGGAGGGGAGGTGTAAGGTTATAGGTCCCGCATCTGTTCAGCAGCAGGGCTCGGCAGCTTGTGAAGCCTGGACAGAGGAAGTTGACGGTGCTTACCCCACGCTGCCAAGTCAAGGAAGAGCTGAGAAGGGAGTGGGAGCCCACAGGTTGGATCTGATCCTCGGCAGGAGGGGAAGGGGAGAAGAGAGCTGGAGCTGCTCCCATGGTGATTGTCCTTGGGTTGACAGCTGCGGGCTTGAGCTTGGCTTGGTGGCAGTCGTGGCTGGGAGTGCAGAGAGGCCTCTACAGGAGACTGGACAGTGGCTCTGTATGTAGGTGAAGCCCTCCCCATGGAGGATCCAGATGAAAAGAGGCAGTCCGTGGTTTTAAGGCATTTCTTATCATGTCAGAAAGTGGATGTGTAGAACCATATCCCACTTCTCAGGGTGGGCCTGAGATTAAATAACTTTTGCAGGAAGGAATGTCTAGGAAGGACAGATCATTGGCTAAGCCCTCCAGCCCTTCAGGTACCTCACTGAAATGGAGACCTTACTTGAGCCTATGTCATGTCCTCTACATGTGGAGGGGCTTGGGGCATTGCCCTTACATGACTAATGACCACAAATCTACGGGGGTGGGGTGGGGAGGGTGCTGCAGCTAGTGACAAGGGCCTGGTACCCAAGAACAGGGCAAGCTCCTACCGTCCCTTCAGGGTCTCTGGGGCTTTTAGCCTTAGCTCAACCAGGAGCCACAAGACCTTTCACGATCCCACAGGGAAGGGGAATCTTACAAGGTCAAACAAGGAGGGAATCGTGGTAACTGTCAGGGTAATAAATTCTTACCAGGGTTGATGGCACCAGGTTGGGAGTGGGATGGGAGCCAACTCCTGCCATTCTCATCTGAGCTGTCCAGGGATGAAGCTCTCCTCCACCCATCCTCTGTTTCCCTGGGCCATTACAGTCCCAGAATCAAATATCCTGCTCTATCTCATGATACCTCATTCACTTACTGAAGGGAGCTAGGCCAGCAAGCCCCAGTAATGCCCCTGCCTCTGGCCTCCACAGTGCTTAGATTACAGACATACATAGTTACACTGAGGTGTTTGTGTTCTGGTTTTGGGATTTTAACATGGGTCCTCGTGCTTGCACAACAATCACTCTTAGCCATCTCTCTAGCCCTGTGTTATGGTTTTATGTGTAATTAGCTACTGTCAAGTCATACAGCCTGTCTTCAAATCTGGCCCCTGTTGTTGGTATACTAACCATGGGCATTTAGTTCTTCTTTCCTACTCTGTCAAAAAAAAAAAAAACAAAAAACCCTCATACTCTGTTTTAGTTTTGTAATGCAGTGGCATGGTTCGGCAAGAGAAGGTCCATGCTGAGGCTTCCACACCTGAGGTACCTGCCATAGGATGTGTCTAGTATAAAATGAAGTTTATTTTGGGGCATGGAAAGTGGGATTGAGAAGGGAGTTGAGGCAGAGAAAGAGAAAGGACAGAGGGCAGGGGGGACAGAAAGAGAGAGGAGGGAGAAAGAAGGGAACAGGCGGCCGGGAACACAAAGAGAGAGGGAGAGGACGGGAGAGGACAGGGAGAGAGAAAGACCAGAGAAAGTAAGGCCAGAGAGATAAAGAGGAGCCACACAGCCATTTTTATTGAAGCCAAGCAGTTGCTGTGGGGCAGAGCCTAGAAGAAACGCTAACAGCTTTAATATCAAACCTCTACATTTTTTCTGAAAGCAGTGATGAGGAGCCCTCCCACCAGGAAACAAGAGCTAGTTACCTCCTCACTACTGTGACAGAATGTCTGCCAAGACCAACGTGAGGGGTGGAGTTTGTTTTGGCTCATAGTCCCAGGGTACAGCCCATCTCGGGAAGGCACGGAGACAGGAGCATGAGACAGCCCACTGCATCTGCTGTCTGGAAGCAGAGAAGAAGAAAATTGGTACTCGCTTTGTTTTCTCTGTTTTATGGAATCTAAAACTGTAGCCCGGAGAATGGCACCACCCACAGAACGGCTCCACCCACATGTACAGCGGGTCTTTCCACTTCACTAAACCTATTCTAATCTGTCACAGAATGTGTCAAAACTTGTTGCCTTGATGATTCTAAATCCAGTCAAGTTGACAATCAAAATCACATGTCAGGGGGCAGACAGTGTGAGGCAAATGGAAACCTTTGATGAGATGGCCTTGGGAGTCTTCCTAAATCATAACATATGGTTACCCAGAGCCACAGTCAGTACTTGTGGTCTGTTAATAAGATATGTGTCTACCGTCCATCCAACCGTTCAGCTGTTCCTAAAATCCATGTTGGTTTTATTCACTGTTAATTGTTAAATCTTTATTTTAAACTTTTGAAAAACTTTAAAAGTCCACCTTCAAGTCCCGTCCTCTGAGATGTTGAAGTAGCTGTGGAAAGGAGCGAGGACAAGGGCCTTTCATGTGAGATATGACAGTTCCCACCGTTCCATAAGAGTCAGGTGCACTCATGCACACACCGTGTGCCTGTGCGCCAGGGAGAAGATCTGAGTCCATTACGTGTTTCCTTGTTTTAACCACAAGCAGGAAAATAAGTGCTGTGTAGAGTCCAGGATCACATGCCAGGCATTCTGCGCTATGTGACAACTGGGAATGGAGTCTTCTGAGAACACCTTTCAGATGTGGAGACATAGCAGGAAGTCACGTTCTATAGAAGAGTCCAGGGAGGTAACTCCTGACTCACCGCCTCTGCCTACTGATTCACAGAGGTCTTCTTTCAGCTTCCCAGCTCATTTCTAGATGGGTGAACACCAAGTAGACCCATCCAGTTTAGCCGTTCCATGAGCTCTGCCAAACTGCTGCTCTGGTTACAACCTCATTGCACTGCATTCTGGGAGGCCCTCTGATTGTGGACAGAGAATTCCGTGTGTGTGTGTGTGTGTGTGTGTGTGTGTGTGTGTGTGTGCCATATGTATTAATATATATATAATATATATTCCATATATGTGTGTATATAAATTCCATATATATGTGTATATTATATAAATATGTAACTATATACGGAATTTATTGGAATGACTTACAGGCTGCAGTCCAACTAATCCAACAATGGCTAGCTGTGAATGGAAAGTCCAAGAATCTAGTAATTTCTCAGTCGTACAAGTCTGGGTGTCTCAGATGGTCTTTCATATATGCTGGGATCACCCAT